TTGTTGAATTTAGGCTTAATTAAAAAAATCCGTCCTCACTATAACATATTGCTACAATTATTGCAAGTATAATATGTAAAAACACTTTTAAGTGCAGGTAAACGAAAAACCGAAATTTGCACCTGTATTTTTCACTAATCGTGATGAATTTCACATACAGTCAACCCCCGTCTAACGGACTTGATTCGTGCAAGGGACGAGTCTGTTAGACAAAAAGTCCTTTACACGAATTCAATTACATAAAAATTAAAAATTTCAATTTTCNAAAGTCCTTTACACGAATTCAATTACATAAAAAATTAAAAATTTCAATTTTCAACACTAATTTTAAACCAAAAGAAGTCTGTTTGGCGGATTTTGTCTGTTGGGCGGGAGGAAAAACTGCTTGCAGAGCTGGTCTGTTTGGCAAAAATCCCTTACAGCACGGGAGGTCTGTTAGGCCACTGTATTCTCTGCAAAACTTTATTCAGGGTCCAAGTATTTTGACCAAAATTGATCAGAAGTTCAATTCCAGCCCACAATAAGTATCCCAAGATATGGTAAAAAAAAAAACGTTTCAACGTTTTATCTTTCCATGTAAAATTTCTAAGCTATGCTCTCTCTGCTCGTATATGTTTTGTTTTCGAATAAGCACAGATTTTTCAACAAAAAAATAACCAACAATTCCGGTATATTCGTGCATGAATTACGTCACAGCCCCGATTGGAGCAGTGGAAACCGATCCCCAGTATTTGCTTCTTTGGGACATCGTCGTTGCTGTTGCTTCGACTGCACAAAATTTGCAGAAAGTGAAAATCAGGTCATCACTGTCATTCACCGGAGATCCCGTGAATGCGACTGACCTCGGGCCTTCGGAGCATATCGTCACAGTGAAAAATTCAGCAACTCGCATCGGAAACAATCCACTTCAGGTACGAAACATTATTCCGCATCAGAGAATTTGATGTAAAAATAAGAAAAAAATTATTTATCGGCGCACCATATATATATATAGGACTTTGTCTGCTTATTCCCGAACACAGGGAGTAAATGAAATAATTTGCGAAGACACGTTCATTTTAATTAAATATTACGCTCTTTCAAGAGTATCTTACATCATTCTAAATGTGCTTATAATTTAAAGCTTCCCTCTTTGTCTTTAAGCCTTATTAAAAGAAAATTTACTCGTCGCAGAAAATTGAGAATTGAGAGAAAATATACTGTGAAGCTCACTTCTTTGTTTTTATAGGCCACATAAAAAGAAATTTGGCTGAACCTGGAATAACTGTCAAAGCTCAACGACATCTGAACTGAAACAGAAAAGCTAATTTTATCCGATCAGACCTACCTCAAAAACTAAAATTCCAAGCTGAAATTGAAAAACTGCAATATTCTATGGGGACTCTCAAAAAGACAGACATGTGATGTGAGAATCTCATTAAAATTCAATATATTGTTATGCAATATATTTATGAAGTTCCAACTGAAATATTTTACTATCAACAGTAAAATGGAATGTTTGGAAAAATCTGTGACAAAACTAAATTTCTGAGCTGCTCATCACTAGACCAAATCTCTTCTCAAAATTACAGGAGCAATTTTCCCGGATATGTTTCTCTTCACAAAAATTTCCAACAATCTTTGTATATACGGTACCAAGTAAATAGCATTCTTTCCAGGTTCCATGGCCTCGAGTAATTTGCTAAATCCTGTTTTGCCCAAAATATTCTCTCAGGAATGACTACCATCAAAATTATATATAAGGAATCATTTTCCACCGCCCTAGCCCTTCTGTGGCAGAGTTGGACTTTTTTTTGCAGATTTTGGTTGCACTTAAGAGTGTAATTTAAAAAACCCTAACTGTGTGTGCAGGGTGAAGTTGGGAAAAATCCAGGCATTTTTTAAATTTCCGTATTTCCCACAGAAAAATCTTGCCTGAAAATGAAAAAATGAAAACTTCAAAGCTCCCTTTTTTCCCTGGCCTTGTGTTGTTTCCTCATTCAATGATTAAATTCAAGCTTGAAAGCCAGCAGCCCAGATTTAGAGGTCAATATGGAAAAAGTCCAACTCAAGACTTTCCCTGTATTTTTTTATCCTTGGATAAAATCCAACTTTGCCCTCCCCAACCTGGCAGGGGTTGCATAACCTTGTGCAAAAATGTTATGCAGGCCCATCAGGAAATAGTCCAACTTTGCCCTGGGATGGAAAGGAGGCTGCCACCGCCCAAGGGCTAGAAATAATTCCACCTATTTATTGTTCAAGAAGGTACTCATCCACAATCTATATAAAGCCCTGCTCATATACTCTAGGAAGAATCAGAATCTTGTGGACTATTGCAGCATGCATTCTCAGAGAAGCTTCCTTGCAAAGCAATTCTTGTCTGGTAGTGCCCAAAAAAAAAAAAAAAAATCTTGAACTGAAGAAACTCCGCAAATTTGTTTTAGTAAAACTTCATTTAAAAAATCAGAAACATGTGTGGACTTCTTTCCCAAACAAATGGAAACTAGTCAAATAAGAAGCTACTTGAAAATCCCAAAAAAAACAGCAGTAGGCCAGCATTTATTGTCCAACAATAAAATTTCGATTTTCTCCCTTTTTTTTTAATTTGCACAGGCGGCAAATGCAACAGCAATGAGTTCCTCAATGCATGTGTACATTTTTGGCCAAGACAACAGCGGAACTTTTCGCCAGGGTCCCGGCGGACTCGTTCCCTTTCGAGTCGTCATCAATCTCAAGGGTTATGAATACGTAGACTACAATTTGAAAGTCGTTCACAACCAGACAGGTGCTGAGCCTAATTGTTTTTTTAGATGAGTTTTTTTTTTAAGAATAATTCACATCAGTCGAATAATTAAAACCACTTCTTCAGAGGCGTCGATTTGTCTGGCACGTTTAACAAAGCGCGGCTACTCCATCACTTGGACTGAGCCATTGGAAACCGACGTGAACATGTTCTACAGCCCGGACAGAAGGATTTTGGAGGTTAAATGGGGTCGGATTTTCAACACCAAGCAGGTGAAGCATTTTTTTTTTTACTTGACAAAAAAATGTCCACACTTCCCTGGAAAGAAGTATTGTGAATATCAGAGATAGTCAGATAGATTTGAAGTACTGTACTGAATCTGAGGAAATAGACCCATAAGCAATTATACTACAGTAAAATCTTGCCACAACAAACTCCCAGGGACCTGAGAAAAAAATTTTATAACAAAAAGATTTGTTATATTGATATTACTGATTTATAGCACATTTCAGACTGGAGTTTTATTGGAAATGGGGAATACATACTTTAAAATGCTTCTAAAACAAATAATTCAGGACCAGGCATAATTAATGAGTACTTCTGATGAAATGAAGATAAATCCTTTGATGCATAATATATAGAGCTCTCCTTTAAATGAACTAAAATTTTTATTAAAGTATTGCTTCTCTTGACAAATAAAATGAAACAAAATCAAGTATGGGAAAATACTGCACTTCCTTCTCAATCAAGTTATTCACTTATAGCTCTTTCAAACATAGAGGAATATTCTTCTAATGTACTGTTTATTTGAAAATGGCATACATTCTAAAATGAATGAGCTAAAGCATTTCCAAAAATATGTCCTTTTGTTCATTTTTTGGACACAAAGTATTCTTTGCATAAAGAATTTTTTGGGGAAAATTTGCAATGTTACATCTTCTAATTTTCTTACATTCTCTGCCATTCATAGAGTAATCCCTATATGGGTTATATGCACAGAATCATGCCCACAAATTTTTCATAATTATAGATTACAGCCTAAAATTACTTTGTTTTAATGACATTTTTATAAAATTACGCCTAAGGGAAACTGCTGGGACCACAAAATATTGTCATAACAAAATGTGTTGTAACATAATTATACTGTATAGTATGTCCTGAAATTTAAACACCAGAAATGGGCGGAATATGGACAGATGTTGGAAATTAAATAAAGCCAAACCTCAAAAGCTCGAAGTCAAAAACCTCCCTATGTCAATTTTTTAAAGTCCAGCTGTCTGAATTATTTTAGAGGCAATGCATTAAAAATGACCCTAACTCAAAGCCTTTCCACCTAAAATCTCTTCAACTCGAATTTTCTGGAAATCTTTTATTGGCTTTTATTTCATTGACACAGGAAAGCTAAAAACAAGACAAAAATGTACTTTGACGTGTTTTGAAAGGAAGTAGAAGATTAATTGGCCAAGCGAACCTTTTTCCTCTAAGTTCAGCAGTCTTTCAACTCATTCATGAAGAAATTTAAATCCTTGAATATCACCAATTACAATTTCTTGTAATTTTTCTTTTCTTTCCCCAAAAAATGCTTGTTTCCTTAAATTGAAGCTTTCCTAACTCAAATTTGCCTGCTGGCCCCCATTATGTTCGACTTCAATTTTTCTGAAAACTTCATCAATTCCAAAAACTGAATGAATATTTCGGAAAAAAAGAACCAGAAAAATCAACATGTTACCCGCCTGCATCCACGTCTGAAAAATGGATTACAACAAAATTTTTGGCTCTTTTTCTGTAGTGTTTCTATACATTGGGACCTTCTGAAATGATTACTATGAATCAATCGATAGAACTAAACCTGCACGAGGTCCCACAGCTCAAATGTGTTATGCTACAAGGGTAAACGAAGCAGGTACGAAAGCACGGCGTTTGCAAGAAGAAAAATCAGCATATATAAGGAAATTTTAATAAATGACTAATTATTTATTCCCCAGGTGGAAAATGACACTTCGGCTGTAATTGAACTGGAAATCGTGACTTCGATGCCGTCAACAGCCGCGGATCAGGAACAACTCCATCATTACTTCACCTTCAGCACCGGAGCTGGAGAAGTGCCAATTATGCAAAATTACACTCTGATCACTGATTACGTAAGCTAAATTTTAAACGCAGAGAATCTTTCAGAGCAGAATTTATGACTTTTTACATATTGTATTTTAATCAATCCTCCCCACAAAAAAAAAAATGCCTGAAGTCTCGAGTGAGTTCCACGAAACCGTTGGTAACGATGAAAAGCGCTTGGGACAACCAAACTTGGCACGAACTTGGAGCAGTTTCAGTCGACTTGGCACTAGAGCTGCCACCTGGTGCCCCTTTGTCAAACTTGTCAGTGGATATCGGAGCAGCGAACAACCAACCAGTCAGCAGCACAAAAAATCTGATTTTTCAAATAAAATTTCCAAGTTTAGGAAATATTAAAAGGCATGTTACTTTCGCAGGCGAGAATCTGCAGAGCAGAATTGTCTTTTGCTGGCTACAGTTTGCCCTGTGCCTTGGGATTTGCAAGCGAAATCAACCAAGGTGTCTCCGACTACAAAAGGTCCTATAATTTATAAATTTTCACCCTTCATTTGACAATTCAATTGTTTTTTGGTTGCAAATGGAATGTTTTTTTTTACCTTTGAAGACTAATGATGATGAAGAATTATTGTTTTTTTCAACAATCTTGCAATTTGAAACAATTAAGGTTGTTGACCAAAAGGTTAACTGCATTTATTTTCTGAATTAATTAATGCAACGTTTGTTTAATATTCTAGCGTTGATACCGTTGAGCTGGACAATAGAGCCAAGATCAACCTAGGCTCTGTTTGTGCAGATATCTACAACCCAGCAAATATTACTGAAAGGTCAATTATTTTGAATGTTGTTGTGGAGCAGCCCATTGGTCTGGAGACCATTGTGGAAAAACCAGATACTGTTCTTGTTCCTGGTGAGCATAATTCCCTGCTTTTTGTGGGGATATTCAAATATTTGAAACGTGGTGAAAATTCAGCATAGAACTATAGAACAAAATGTAGAGCCACACTTCTCTAAATCACCTGAAAAAAGATACTTGGAATTTTTTTAAATATACAGAAAAAGAAAGCATGATGGAAGTTGATAATGTTTATTTTCCTTCCATTGAAATGTTTTCTTAGTGTTAAATTTTAAATTTGGTGGCAATGTATGACTGATTCTTTGAATATTTGTTTCTATGGTATAACATTTGGAATATTGCTCAAAATGTTTGACACCTTTTCCACAGGTTTGAAAACAAATTTCAGCTCAACAAGTTTGAAGTAAAAATTTCAAGATACAGTACAGTGTTTAGTACGTTTCAACAAAAACCAAATACAGTATTTGCAGCTTGATGGGATGAAGTCTGTATCCTAAAATCTGACAATAAGTATATCACAATCACAACTCATTATTTCTAAAAAAAAACTTACAAACCATTGATGATTTTGTAAAATATAGTAGAATAATTGCATGAATGGTGGGAGCTCAGGAGTGTCTAAATTTATCCTACATACTGTATTATGAAACTCAAAAGTACTGTGTGTAACCAGCACATTTGAGAACAACTTTGAATCAAATTTAAGTGATTTCAGAATTCTTAAAATATACATGGGATCTCATCTCACTTATTCCCTGGTTCCTTGAAAACGAAAGTTATGCATGCTCTCTTCAAGACCAAAGGTTCAAAATAATCTTATTTTCTCTATATACAGGAACTGGGCTTATAAGCGCAGAGGTGACATCTGTGCGCTCATCTGTGCCTGAGACCTTGTTCACTGGAAGTGTGTCATACCCCATGTTGCAGTCAACATTTGCTCAACCCTTTGTAGCAATAAATGGCAGTTACCCAACATTGACTGCTAGTGTCTTTCCCAGCAACCCTGAGCCCAGTTCAACTGCTGCAGTCTACTTTGACATTCAGGTGCAGTTTTTTGTATCAAGTATGATACAGTGTATATTTATCTATATTTTCCCAATTAAACTGACATGAGTTTCACTTAATTTTTTACAGACTCCTCCGCAAAGCATGCTTGGACTCAAGTTGTCAATTTTCTCTGCTGATACTGTGTTGTGTAAAGCTTTGATTGTTGCCAATGGTCATTCCTTGCCTTGTGTCAGGCCTTTTGAGAATATTTATGCAGATGGGAGGAATTTGAATTGGGCATGGAATTCTTGGGCCACATACATACTACAGCCTTTGACAAACCTGCATCAGGGAACTGAAGTGCATTTCCCTAGGTTAAGCAATGTTGGTAAGTTGTTCATTTCATAACCTTCTGAGGAAATATTCAACTATTCTGAATACAGTACTGTATACAGTGAGACCCCAAGATGCAGATGTAATTTGTGCATCAAGAGTGTCCCTGAGTTGAAATGTCCCCAAGTCAAGTGTCATATTTCTCCTTAGACTTAGATTATATTATTTTGCATTGGTGTTCTATGGAAGAAATATTCATCAGAATTCCATGGAAAAAATTGTCTGCCAATAATTGAAATGGATTTATCACATATCTTTCAACTCAATCAGAACATTTGGAGCATTGAATACTGAACCTCTGTACAGCAAATTGAAATGTTGGCATCTGTAAAAGTAACATTCAAGTTACACGGAGAGAAGAAAGTTTCTCTATGCTGGAGGTACTTTTTAAAATTATCTTAATGGATGGGAAAATGATGGGAAAAATACCAAAGAATTTTTCTTCCATAGATCTTATGGTTGGAAATATCTGTTTCTTACAATTCAGACTGATAAAAGTCACTTTTCCTGAAACTTATTGGCAATGGTATGCAATGTTTGCATGTCAAGTCAGTGTCTTCATTTCTGGCCTTTTTTTATGCCTTTCTATCAGAGGTCTCACTGTGCATGTCCATGTATCTTCATACTATCTTGTTAGCGCATGAGAGAACTTATTCCTTGGGCTCTACTTGTGAGGACAGTGAGATCTTCTTATTGTAACAAACTTCTACAGTATAAAAACTTGCTTGAGAATGTTTTCTTACTTGCAGTATCATGATTCTCTTCAGAAAGTCAGTCTTTTTTTTTCATGAATGGGATGCTCATAGATGCAACTTTTTTTGTGGGCTGAATCTGAAGATTTTCCAGCAATCAAAGCGCAATTTCCTCCAAGACTGAGGAACTAGAGATCCGTTGACTAATTCAATTGACTTCTTTTATTGAAAATATTTGTGGGCAATTTCTTCAAACTAAAGACATGTGAAGTAAAGTTTTATGGAGTCCAATAACTGCAATGATAACGTGGAAATCACCAAGAAATTACAGTAATTTATTCTACTGACAAACATATACTGAAATGCAGTTCTATAGCAATTTTCTACCTTGTATTAATTCTGACAAATAAGTTAAAAATATTTGCAATGATGAAAAATTCATCAATGACATTTTGTGTGTATCAAAATTGATAGATGTAAATCTATATTTTCACCCTAATCAGGTATTTTGGAGAGAATTATTCCAGCAACCACTCTTTTTCAAAGGGTGTACTGTACTATCTGGATATGGAAAGAAGTTTATACTGTGCATCAAATGATCACTTTTGACTTTGAATGAGATTGCTGCCACGCAATTGAGATAATCAAATGGTATTTTATTTGAAAATTTAATTAGAAACGGGTTCAAACTCAGTTGTTTGAGGTTTTGGGGGAATATGGGATCCACTGCTCAGTCTTGATCTTTTGAATGAATGAAACTCTTTAACTATCTTTAAACTAACTTTTAAAACTAGCAGCCACGTTTTGTTATACATGAGGTTTGTAAACATGTGTTATATCACTTCAAATTGTTGCCAGTCATGGAACATCAAGGGAAACTAAAGTTGAAATTTCTAAAAGGTACTGTATTATAAAAATTTGTGTCTCACATGTGTCTTCCTTTTAAAATTCATCAGGAAGGGAAGCTATGGGACCTGCTTCTGGTCCAAATCCAATCAACACCATCAGGGCCATGCAAACAGTCCAGATCCAGAGCTCAGCTGTCACATACAGCACCAAAAGGATGCAAGCAAACCTGACATCATTGGATGGAGCAGTAACCTATGCATCCCTTGATGTCCCAATTGTTATTGGGGCTGCTTCAACACAGTCTACCCCTGTAGAAACCAATATCACCATGTCATTAGGTGAAGAACAATGTGTGGAAATACTTGAGAAGATCACATCATGAAGTAAAGTATTAACAAACTCTGGAGGGTGGCCCATCCTTTCTGTCTGTAGAAGTACTATACAATATCTTCATATTTGTTTCTTCAGTTACTTTTAATGCTCTATCAGAGGCTACTATTATAATGTTTGTTAAAAAAATATATAATCATATTTGCATTAAATAAGAATATATTACAGTAGGTTCTATCAAAGACTTCCAATTATTTGCAGAATTTCTTGCTAGTTGTTTCAGGATGTTCCTTCACCAGACATGCATTCACTTCACAAATCCTTTCCAATGCAAAATTCAATCAAAACATTGTTTTCATTGAATTTTGAAGGGATTTTAGAACAACGCAACTGTTTGCAGAAAGCAAGAAGTCAATAAAGTGCCACTGCTTCTTCTAATAATGAGACAGGATTTTAGAAAAATTCAAGGGCAAGGATTATTTCTTTGATTGTACTGCATTTGAGGCAAAAACACCACACATGGAAATGTGAATACAGCATTTTGTAGTTCAAGGATGAGACAATTTTTTAAAACATGCAGATGATTTTTGAGACCATTTCTTGTATTTTTCTGTCAAAAATATTTGGAAAAATCAACATAAAAAAGTATTTATTGAACTTAATCTCAAGAAACATTTTAAACTGATTTTCATAACATTGTGTCATGCTTTCCTAACAAAACTTGGGAATTTCTATAAAGACAATGTTGTTATAACAGTGTTTGTTGTAGAGAGATTTCACCCTGTTATCAGCAAATATTACTGAAAGGTCAATTATTTTGAATGTTGTTGTGGAGCAGCCCATTGGTCTGGAGACCATTGTGGAAAAACCAGATACTGTTCTTGTTCCTGGTGAGCATAATTCCCTGCTTTTTGTAGGGATATTCAAATATTTGAAACGTGGTGAAAATTCAGTATCGAACAAACAAAATGTAGAGACACACTTCTCTAAATCACCTGAAAAAACTATGCTTGAGATTTAAAAAAATACAGAAAAAGAAAGCATGATGGAAGTTGATAATATTTATTTTCCTTCCATTGAAATGTTTATTTATTGTTAAATTTTAAATTTGGGGGCAATGTATGGCTGATTCTTTAAATATTTGTTTCTATGGTATAACATTTGGAATATTGCTCAAAATGTTTGACACCTTTTTCCACAGGTTTGAAAAAAAATTTCAGATCAACAAGTTTGAAGTAAAAATTTCAAGATACAGTGTTTAGTACGTTTCAACAAAAACAAAATACAGTACAGTATATGCAGCTTATTGATGGGATGAAGTCTGTATCCTAAAATTTGACAATCAGTTCATCACAATTACAACTCCTTATCTCTAAAAAAAATTACAAACCATTGATGGTTTTGTAAAATATAGTAGAATAATTGCATGAATGGTGGGAGCTCAAGTGTCTAAATTTATGCAACATACTGTATTATCAAACTCAAAAGTACTGTGTGTAACCAGCACATTTGAGAACAACTTTGAATCAAATTTAAGTGATATCAGAATTCTTAGAATATACATGGGATCTCATCTCACTTATTCCCTGGTTCCTTGAAAACGAAAGTTATGCATGCTCTCTTCAAGACCAAAGGTTCAAAATAATCTTATTTTCTCTATATACAGGAACTGGGCTTATAAGTAATCTCAAGAAACATTTTAAACTGATTTTCATAACATTGTGTCATGCTTTCCTAACAAAACTTGGGAATTTCTATAAAGACAATGTTGTTATAACAGTGTTTGTTGTAGAGAGATTTCACCCTGTTAACCCCCATCATTGGGTAGTTCAACTTGGGCTGTTACCCAGAATTACTCAAAATATTTTCTACATTTTAGATAATGATTAAGAGGCCAGATAAATTCCAATTTGTAGGTGGCATGAAAAATTTTTAGCATCCTGTGACATGGGTGGACTCTGGCAGTCTGGCAATTACTGAAAAATTTTCACTTATCATCATTTACTAAATTTATCTATACAAGGGTTGTCCCACTTGGTGGTAACCTTTTTTATTTCTACATTAGGTATTCTAAAGTTCTATAAAAAAAATCGATGCCTGGTACAGTCCAGAATGTTTCAAGGTTCTGGATTTTTTCACTGTTCCAAAAGCATTTCTTTAAACTGTTTTATTAAAATAATGCTCTAAAAAATGGTCGAAATGTTCTAAGAAAAATCCAGAACCCTGGAACATTATGGGCTATGCTATGCCATGATACATTTTTTTTTGTCAGTACGGATTAGATCTTTATTTGTTCCAATGGTCGAATGGTGGTTCACCCTGTTTGGTACATTTAGTCAAAATAACTTCATTTCTAGAAGGTGGATTGAGGCGTAGAAATAGCGTACAGTCGACTGGACGAAGGCAGTTCGACAGATGTCACCCCAACTGTGCTGAAAGTCATATACATCGACATTCTCACACACTCCAACATGCTCAAAGGACTAAAGTTGATGTCAAAAATTGACGTTCCTGATGCTGCATCCATGTGCTCATTGCAAATTTTGCACGTCGGGTCAAAGCTGCCGTGTGTAAACGCATCTACGCTTATTTCATCTTCAAGTTACACTGAGTAAGTGTCTCTTTTTTCAACTCGGGATTATATACGAGGGGTTACACGGTTCTGCGCAGATCAGCCTGTTTGATGCTGTTGTGGGTAAGCTTCAAAATTTAATGAATGAATGAATGAATGAACAGAACACTTTATTTGCTGCTTTTCATTGCTCACAAGCTTTAATCAAGATTTCAACATCCAAACCCCCTTCCCACCCAACCAAAATCCCCTCAAAGACATTTGATCACCTCAGAGCAGGAAACAGAGCAAAAATTGTTAACAAAAATAAAAGAAAATACAATCCACAAAATACAACCGGACATCTGACATGTATGCATACACCCATTCAAGCCCTGACATTGGAAACAAAATATCAGTAAAAATTAATTTAAAGCACGAGGTCTTGAGCTTGTTTCTATATGAGGTTTAATTGAATGAACAATTTAGAGAGAATTTTTGAAGAGAAATCATATAAGGCCAAAATTTAATAACTGAACATTTCAATAAGGCCTGTTTCAAGTGTACCTAGTTTTCCCGACTCGTTACAGATTTTTAACCATCACAATTGTAACGGATCGAAGAACCTTGATATCACTGGTTCTCTTTTACCAAAATTTTTTAGAGACCAAAAGTCTAGTATAGTTCACCGCGTGTAACCCTTTGTATATCATATTTTGTTGTGAAAGCATGGAAAAATGCCTGTTTTAGTTCTATTGCCCAGGTTTTGCCGGATTCTGCAACGTTGGATTTTGGCACAGTTTGCAACCAAGACATTCCGATCCCGGACACGAGCTCAGCCATTGAAGAGTCAAAGATACGCGTTGCCCTCGGATTCGTTCCCAATAAAAATTTGCCTGCTGGAACCAATTTCACTATCCGCAACACACTGACAGTTTCAACAAGTATTTACATAAATAAAATATTCCAATACCGAATGAAATCCGCGTAATGTACATGACTTATCATTCATCATCAGGCGCAGCAACTGGAACAGTTGTCAAATCAATGACATTCAAAGCCGTAGTTTCGTCCAGCATTTCCCTGTCCACGGTATGAAGAAGAAGTTTGAATTTGAAATGAGATAAAATTCCCTGAATGGAACTAATTTCTTCAAAACAAATATATTAATGCCTAATTTTGCAAAACAATATTGCGATAAAAGCAGGGCAGCTCCAAAATAATGTAGGTCCTTCGAATTCCACAACCAAAATTGCTCTGTTTTGACTTTGAAAGGTCCTTTTTATTTATTTGTTGTCGAATTGGTTGTTTTTAAATTATCTATAACGTCAACTTTCTGCGAGGTAAATGAATAATTTCTTGGCTGATCTGTGTTTTCAAGATAAAATCTGTTTGAGTTTTTGTTGTATATATAGTTTTATATATATATAACTATATATCTATATTGTTGTATATATAGTTTTATACTGTATTTGGAATTGCGCTTTCTTTTAAATTTAGAAGACAATTGCTTGAAATTCAAAAAAAATTGACATTGGGGAGAATCAGGTTTTTAGTACAGTAAGTACAATTTGACCTCCCACAATTTGACCCTGCCAAAATTTGACAGTTGAATTTGCAGGGAGGTTGACATACAATTTGATCTTTGTCCCACAATTCAACCTGCGTTGGCCAATTTTTTGGCGTTTTTGTACTGATATTTTTTAACCCTTGTGTGGCAAAGTTGGGAAATATTTGCAAACTTTTGTGCCACTGGGCACTGGAAATAAAAAAAACCTACTTTTGTTACAAGGTTTAAGTCAGAAAAAGTCCAATGTTTTTTCTAATCCTGCAGAAAATTTTGAATGAAAATTTTAAGAAATCCTTCACTGGGTGGAGGTTTCTGCTGCATTCCTAGCATAGGATTATTTGCATGGATTTTAGGACTTTTGTTATCTTTTAAGTGGATCACCTAAAAAGGGTTGAATCTGGAAGAGTTGGACCCACGTAAAGTCACTGGAACCCAGTTAGACTTTACGTGACGAGGGACCTATTTAGGACTGACTCATGCACTGGAAAAGAACCCTCTGATGTCCAAGGGTTAATTCAACAAAGTGTCTCACAATTTGAATGCTTTGCAATTCAAGCCTAGTTTGGCAATGGATTAGCTGATTGAATTGCAAGGTACCACCTGTAATCAATTATACATTACAAAAGTAAAAGCTTTCTTCAATGTTTTTGTCCAGAAATTTAAAAATGAAGTGCTGTGAAGAAAAATCTGAGTTTCTTCTACAGAAATGATTATTTCAAAAGTCCCTTTGAAAATGCCCCTCTCAATTCTAACAATACTGTACTCTTTTTACTTCTTTATTGTGTTGCTGTATTTTCTTTATTCATAGTTTTGGAATAAATGCTCTCACCTGTGTCAAAAATATTGTTTTCACAAATATAGAACACGCAGCATCTTTCAATCTTTGACAAACTCACTTTCCATCTATTTTCCAGACATGAACAAAAAAACGAGAAGGCTTATATGTAATGAAAATTCCTGTGACCAAATAAATGTTAAACAATTTCAGAAGTACCTATTAAAATGTTGAAAATTTTCAGAATACGAGCGGGCTCAAAATAGCGACACTTTACCGGGAGAAGAATACAACTTGACTCTGCGATTCTCTGGACTCGTTTCTGGTGGAAGAGCTGCTGTGTTGGTGACTAATGCGAGGTATTTAATTAATTAGGCATCATTAAAATATATTTTTGAGGTGTGGTGAACGTCATGGATTGCTGAGAAGCGATAATTATTAATGAAGGAACGAATTTCAACGTCGGATAAACCTAGAAAAAATGATCACACCTACCGAATGATTCCGATCAGCTCAAAACAATTTCAGATGACGTAAACGATGATTATTTGATATTTTGAATAAATTTCGTTCATTACATTTATCGAAAGTGGTCAGAACCATGAACTTCGGTGGAATATCAAAGGTCAAAATTTTCGTTTCGAATTTTGATTCAATAAGATTTTATAATTTTTTTTTTGAATTGCAGAATCACAAAACGAGGGAGAAATATGTTCTGTTGCGGGTCAGGGAACTTCAACAGCTCAATAACTTATTTGCAGACGGTGAATCCGAGCCAGAATGACACTTTGAAACTAGATTTGGGAATAGTTTCGAACCCTGGTGAGCTATAATAAAAAAAATCCAATTTTAAATTGTATACCACTTGAAATAAGGGAGTACTGTAACAATTATTTTGAATATATCATCCACATGCTTCTAAAAACTTTTATTCATGCAGGTTATTCATACACCAGAGGAGATTATCAAGACGAAGACAACGTTTTCGTTGTTGAAATCGAGGTCGAGCCAGTTGACCACCCATTGGCCCATCATGGGTCATTGTTGCCGGTCACTTTAAAGGTGATTTCGGGCTTTCATCGGGGTAAATCCCAAGAATTAAAATTCATTTTCTTGGGGACGGGAAAATTCCAGCTGGATGTCAATGGGATGCAAAATGCGGAGAATGCGACACAAAACGTTCAAGTTTTCCGGTCCGGGTTCGAGTTTATGAATGTTCAACTGAAGTCTAGATACCCAAATCCAAACGTGCCGTATGTCAGAAAGTATGCAATTTTTTCTATTTATTTTTATTTTTCTCAAAACAGAAGGTGTGCAGCATTTAATTCGGCATCATCTGTGAATACCTTTCTTACTACACTTTATTCATGTTTACGATATTTTATAGAATAATGAGCATTCTGATCACTTCAACCCTCAAAAACTGGCTTCTTGGACTTTCAAATAATGTTTCATGGATAACTGATGAAAAATTTACCCGAGCAAAGCTGAAAATAGCCTAATCAAACATGAAATACTGTACAGTGAGACCCTGAGATGCGCACATAATTGGTGCATCAAGAGTGTCCCTAAGTCAAAATGTCCCCAAGTCGAGTCTCATTTTCCCTTAGACTTACATTATATAATTTTTAATTGGTGTTTCATGTACAAAATACTCACCCTAATTCCATGAAAATAAAAATTGTCTCCCAATTTAAACTGATTCAATCAATAATGTATTTCAACACAATATGAACATTTGGGGAATTGAATACTGATACCTCATCTGTACAGCAGTACATATAGAAGTGTTGGCATTTTCTGTAAAAATAAAATTCAAGTGAAACAGAGATAAGGAAGTCTCTCTATGCTGGAGGTAATTATTTTAAATTAGCTAAATAGATGGTATATTGGGGAGAGAAATGCCCAAGAACTTTTCTTACATCAATTTTAGGGTTGGAAACATCTGTTTCTTGTAATTTTGCCTGAAATTTATTTGCAATTTTATTGCAAAATGTCCCTATGTTGAGTCAATGTCCTCATGTTGGGACTTTTTTGTGATTTTTTCATGGTAAAATAATTGTCCCTAGGTCAAATCGTCCGCAGGTTGAGGCGTCTGCATGTGGGGGTCTCATCACTGTATTTTATATTCTAGACTTCATGAAGCATAATAATTCAGTTTATTCTTACAGCTGACAAAAAATTAAAACTATCTTGGTGAGAAATTTCAGTGAAAAAAAGTTTATAAGATGTGATTTAATTCTTGTGAAATAATTTAACTTTGTTGTCCTTTATTCCATTTAAAAATGACTGTGTGTTGAGTGTATAATATACAGTTATATTCATACAAAGTATTGAGTACAATCAAGTAAAAACACACAAGACATGAACAAAAACAGTTTCAAGTCCAAAGGACTGAGAATCTCTGTCTCTGTCTATCCATTAAGGCTCAAAGTTTAAACAGGTTAGCTACTACTTAACTTTACTCATCAAACTCTAGAAAGGATCTGAGTCTTTTAAATAGACATTCTCCTTTTAAATAGGCACTGAGAGAAACCAGGAAGGGAACACACCATTAAACAAATTTCCATGTATCAGAACAGGAAGGTTAAAACTAGAGATAGCTGAGTTGTGATGTGAAAAGGTCACTTCACTTAAATAGAGAGGCATTCTTTCATTAAATGAAAGGATGCCATTCACTGAATGGTATTCAGGTTGAGGGATGGGAACACTCTTCCATCACTTTCTTTGAAGGCCAAAATGTGCAAGAAAATCCTGATGTATGCATTACGCTATTTTTTTTTTATCCAAGAGAGAACTAATGAGGCATGGAAAAAGATAATGTCAAAAGTGTCTTCATCATTTTCCAGGATAACAAGGTGAATTTAATTTGTCTTTAATTGTACTTGATTAGCTTTCCAGTTTCATGAAAATCTCTCCAGGCATACATTTTATGAATTATACTGGAAGAAATTTTGCTCTTGGGATATTATGCGGTTCCAAAGTAAAGAAAATGTGTCACAAAAAATGTTGTTCAGCCCAGAACAGCATTGATATCAAGTGTTTGAAAAAAATCTGACGAGAAACATTCTTCCTGAATAAAAGAATCAATTTCTGTATCTGAATAAAAAATTTCAGCTTCTTATAGTCAACCAACCGCATCAAATGAAGACTCAAATTCGCGCGTTATAATTTACGCAACACGTCACGATTTTTGCAAGAAAGCATCGGGACCTATTTTAATACTTCGGATGGAATATTCTTAGATATTTTTTTCTCTCAAAGAAATCATACAGAAATTGGTCTAATTGTATCAAGAAAATTTACTCCAGTGTTGATTTATGATCAACTAACTATTTTCGACAGCTCCCAAGTGTCGATCGGCTTTACATTGTCACATACGTCGCTGTCGAAGATCGAGCCGGTGGATGTCGGAATCAGATATTTCCTGCCAAGCTACATGCTTTTCAATTATTCATACACGTACAATTCTACTCGGACTCCGACAGTGACGTTCAACGACGGTATTCTCGAATTCAAGGTAAGTATATGCTCAGAAATTGAAATCAAACAGCTTGAAAATAAAGTTTAGCTTTACGCAATTTTCCGCAAAAAATATTCTGATGCTTGAATTTAAAAAGCGGAGAAAACGGTAACGTTTCGTATCATAAGGTTTTGATAAAGCAACTGATCAAAACACATTGGTTCTACTGAGTTGTGATTATTTCTTAAAGTTTCGAAGAGCTCGAACAATTTGCACAAAAAATATCACATTTGATAAAAAGTTTTCGTAATGCCTTGAAGAGTTTAATACTGTATATATGCACAATCAAAACTTTTTTCCGCCAGTTTCCATATCTGCTGTTGAACGAGAAAATCAGCGTTGATTTCCAATTGGTTGCTGACCCCGAAAACATCCGGGGTTTCGGGGCCGGAAATGGGGACACTTTGGTGCCATTCGAGGCCTACGGAAGTTTGATTCGAAGGTTCGGGTTGCCGAATCAAGAAAACGGGGTTTACCCGGAAAACGGGGTCGACGTCATCCCGCTTTCCCCGCTGAAAAACATCAAATTTGTGGTCTACAATGAAGGTATTTTTTATTTTTTGTTGCTGATATATTCTTGCTCGTCAAACTCTCATTTCGATGATTCAAATGATGCGTGAGGTAACTTTATTTTCGGGGACTGCGTTTTTCAGATTGCTTCGATTCACTGAAGCTTGAAAACTCTACGGATTATCCGAGCTGTCAGTTTTCAGCATCAAGTTTTCTCAGTGATTCAACAGTGCCCTCGAATTCCAGGGACTTTTCCTCCCAAGGTAAAATTACTATTTTAAAAATGTTCGCTTTGAAAATTTGAATACGATTTTTGCGTATACTTGCGTTTTTTCATGGGCTCAATCTTCAAAAAACGACGATGTTATAACGATCTGCCAACATTTTGCTAGTGCTGTTGATATTTTCTCACGGATTGGTAATCTTGGGTCCTTCGAAAATTGATATAAATTAAATTTCTTAAGAGAATAAGAGAATAATCTCAAATTGAATTTTTAAAAATTAAAAAACTAAAACAAATTCAAATTTCCTAACATTATTTAAGGTTGTTAACATCTTTAAAATCACAATTTAATATTTTTAACACGTTTTTATTAACTTGCTTTCTTGTCCGTTTGTTTGTCTGGATCAAATTTTGCAACTCAAATTTTGCTCACTTCCCAACTAGCTAGCAAGCTGAAACTTTCAGGATAGCTTAGAAACTGATGACAATGCAATCTTTTGTGAAAAGAAAAATTATAAGAATATTTTTTATTTTTTCCTTTTTCAAATCGTGGTTTTTTTAGATTAATTTTTTAATCTACTAAATTTTTTTTTTAACTACTTATCTAACAAAAATAAAAAAATAAAAATAAGAACCTAATTGGGTCCGACCTAATTTAATTTACTAAAATTAAATGTTATGGGATAAAATTTAGAAACAAAGCGGTTAACAGATCAATCAACAATGAATCATCCGCGAGTAGAGATAAATATTTGGACACGTGTTATCTCCCAGATTAATTGAAACGTTAAAAATCTTGTAGAATACAAAATAAAACTTGAGCCTTCATTTTTTCTTCTAACTATAAAGTGCAAATGCTTTTCTATTATACTGTTTACACAGTATCAAGATTGTTTTTTTATGCACATTATGTCTCAATTTGCACAAATGAAATCATGGGCGTGAACAGGATCACGTACTGTAATTTTAATCGTTATGATAATACAGCAGTCAACTTGTTTCATTTTTTTAGGCTGGCAAGCGGAAATCCGAGAAGGAAAATTTATCCAGTGGTTGTCAATTGATTTCGGGAAAAGGAAGCGAATAACCCGATTGCAATTTGCTCTTCCCGCGGGAACAATTGCGCCAAAAATCCTCACAATTGAGACCAGTTTCACGGGCTCGTCTTGGCAAATGATTCGCTATGGGGTGAGATCGGAAAATGAATAAATGAAAATAATTTCCTAATAAACAAAATCGTTTAATACAAACAAATAATTTTTTCCTTCTTATATTCCTCCTCTTTCCTTTTTTGACGAAAAACAAAAAAGACATTGAAGATCAGCGATGGAGAACCCTGGCCCGTGACCTGGACCTTGTTGGAGCCATTCCACGGAAGGTTCATGCGGGTTCGGATCGTTCGGACCCAAGATGGTCCCTTGGTGCCACAAACGGTGGGGCTTTTTGTCCGGGCCTTCGGGTGCGACCATCGGGGATTTGTCTACTTGCCGCAAAATTTGACAACTTGCGAATTCTCGCCGTTGGCCCGGACAGCGACTGATCGTAAGAAGTTATATAATAAACATTTCAAAGCATAAAAAACTTCATGTCGGTGGATCGGGGACAACACATTATTTTTTAAAGGAAAATTTATAATAATTAGAATATTCTTTTTTGGCTCAAGTGACCTGGAATCTATTGTCACAACTTCTTGGGGACGAAACCGTGGGAAAAAAAACTGCCTCAGAAAACATTTAATTTCACGAGAGAAATACAGTAAATCAAGTTCAAAAATCAATGTCGTATGTAAAAACTCATCTTCAGGTTTCACCTTTATTTCGGAAAAATCTCTCTTCCATGTACAATATTCACTTACGTACTTCAGTCTCAGTTTTATCAGAATTGACACTTGAAAAATAACCTCGGAAATAATTTACGAGAATATATATTAGTTCATAAAGCGTGAACAGTACAGTAAAATCTCATTATACAACGAAGCCATCTCGGGACCATTAAAATATAGCTTCGTTGTCTCGAAAAAGTTGTCATAAAATACCTTCATTTAACATTGTGGCTATTGGACAGGGACCTGAAAGATGACTTTGTATTGTAAGCGATTATTCGATGTAACGAAATTTGTTGTAACGAGGTTCTACGTGTAACAATGTGAAAATTTTATACTGCAGAAAAACTGAAAAACTGAACTGAACGTTCTGCCTCGTCATAAAAATGATCTTCTCTATATTCACGTGCGAATGAAGAAAGACAATCGATTTTGAGAAGCGATTTTATGGCAGATATCTAGGGAATATACCGTATATATAGAATGCAATCATTTAAAAAATGTTTTTCCTGAGAAAAAAATGACAGCATTGCTAAAAAGTAGCTGAAAATTTTTTCAACACAATTTTCGACGATTAAAATGTTGGCTGATTTCTCAATTATGCTTTCCTTTTGATTCACGCGCTTTTCTCCACATTTCAGAATGTACAGTATTATAATTAAGCAATATTTTATGGTGCCGTTCTTCTAAAAAGTAACTTTACAGTATAGCTGTTCAAAATGGTATTTACATGCACATAATTAAGAAGAAGTAATGTAACTCCTCGAGTAAATTTGCATATTTGTCTCAATTTTTAGCACTGCTCAATCGTCACTTCGCAGTGGATACAAAAACTGATCGCGCATTTTACTGCGATCGACTCGTCAATTCGTGAGTCGTGCTTCATTTTTTTTGAAGCAACGATTCTTCTCCATTTTTTAAATGCGTTTTTCCCTATTTTATTCGCCGTTTCAAGGCAGGAGATGAGATGTTATGCTTCTTCGCCTGCCAAAAACGAATGGCGTCTTTTGCCATTAACTCTCACTAGTGTCAGAGGATATCAGCCCAGCACAGGGAGAATTTATCTCATGGACAGGAGTCACAGAGCTGTGGTACACACAGTGAATGGAGGAGAAAATGTATCGCCCACCGGAATGGTGATTATATTTAGCTGAACCTTGATAAGTCAAACCTCCCCAAGTCAACTTTTTTTCTTCAAGTCTGAGTCTGAATTTACTTAGAAATAATGTATAAAAAAATGACGTGAACTGAAGTTATTTTCCTCTCAAACCTCTCTAAGTTGAATTTCCCAAGGCCTTTTGGATATTACTTTCTTGACAAATGAAAGAGAAAAGCAATAAAACAAGTAACTTGATGTGTTTTGAAAGGAAATGATATACTAATTGGGCAAATAAACCCCTGCCTCCAAGTTCAGCATGTTGTAAACTCATTTAAGAAGCAATTTAATGCTCAGAATACAGTATAACCATTTACAATATCCTGATTTTCTTGAATGTTTCCCACAACAAAAATGCTTGTTTTCCAGAGTAAAAACCTCCATATTATAAGTTGATTTTTTTGCTGGTCCCTTGAACATATATATATATATATATATATATATATATATATATACTGGGCTGGATTATAACTTTTGAGACTTTCAAAAAAGATCCAACAGAGTTTCAAAAGTTCCTGATGAAAAAATTACTCACATAGCCTCATCATTTGGCAACACTTTGTGGCTGTTCAAAATACTATCAGCTGATTTCCATGAATTTTTTATGGGATAAATCCAAGGATCAAGACACATATCGAGTTATGCTTGTTGATTACACCCTGTAATTTCTGGTTTTCTCCCTACAGCGAAGAAGCACCTGAAAGAGATTGATTTTGAGGACAATATTGTTGCTTCATTCCCTGCGTTATTGAAAATATCAGCTTAATCACCTAAACGGAACTCGATTGGTTTTATCAAATTAAAAAATGAATTGAAATCAGCAGAGAATACGTTATAACTGCTGCCCTACTGAAGATGTGTTGCCAAATGATGGGGCTATATGCAAGTTAGAAAAAACAACTTTTTCAGAATTTTTGAAACCCACTGGGATCTACTTCAACAAATCTCTATACACCCACGAACCACCCCTCTTACATCTTTCGTAAAATAGGTCGATAACCGGATGAAGAATATGACCCATTTTTCTCTCTCTCTCTCTTTATTTTTGTTTGCATTTACACAGGATGAGTTCGTGGCTCTGCAAGCAAAGACGACGGATTTTGTTCCAAGCAAAGTCATTCCTGCCAAAGATAAGGCAGGAGTTCTGGCTGAAAAGATCGGGAATTGGATCGCTGATTATATCGGGTTGAGATACGGCACGGAATATTTTGTCAAATGGAGCGCGTGTTGTGTTTGAGATACATTGTATGCTTCGGATAATGGCCTCGTCCGAGCTGCTTGATGAGTTATTCATCAGGGGTTCATTGAATTAGAATAAAGTGCAACAAAGTCTATTTGAAGTTGAATATTGCCAAGAAGCGTGAACCGCAGTTGTGACAAGTTTGCTTTTATTTCTGATGAAGAAATACACTTTGAGTTTCTGCTCATCTGTGGTTTCAATCTTGATTGCACCGTATGTACTTGTGTAACTCTGTAACAAATGAGCGCATTTTTCTCCCAAAATTTAATGTGTGAAATTCAAGTTGCAAGCAGGAGCAATCAAGTTGAATTCTCACATATTTTCTCTTCTCATAGTAATTGTCTCAGCAATTCTCATCAATTATTGAAGCGGCCCTCAGGTTTTCCATCAACCTTTTATGACCAGCAGGGTCCAAGAAGGAAATCTGGTTGACTATTATGAAGCCAATTTTGCGCAGTATTTTTTGAATATTTGTTTTGAAATGTTTTCTTTTTATGCACAGGTGAGGAATGCTACCTGTAAATGATAACCCAACCGGAAGATATTTGCGAGATTGCAAAGTAGGCGAGATTGGAGCAGGCACTAGTAAAATTCGAAGGGTTTTGATTGGACGGGCTTTGAATGAGGAATACTCCAAATACTTGTAGTCGAGGGCCACATATTCAATTTTCTTTTTCAAACGAAATACGATGAGTGTTTTGTAGAATAAATCTTCCCAGCATCTTTTTCCGAAAGCGAAAATATGCCGCAATTTTTATCGGAACAAGAAAATGAATTATATTTCTTCACAATCGTGTCTTATTGAATAACACGGCAGACATCAGCCTAGTTTATCATTTTTTCCGCAGGTGCATGTTGATCTTCGCGCTTTAATTATATGTGTGCTGGAGTCTCAATTAAGCTCTGAACAATGAACTCATCAAATGCTTATAATGTATAACTTTCACTATTTTCACCTGACGGGTGGATCTGCTGCTGTTGGGTTTATTCCCAGATTTTCAGGTCGTTGCACATTCTGTATACTGTATTCCTAACGTAAAGCTAGAACAGGGATATTGCGGAGCATGACAATAAGTAAAAGGGTTCAGCTACGAAGGAATCTGCGTGATTGATGCTGGGTAATGATGACCATTTTGTTCAGACCTTTTTTTAAAATTGATTCACTCCATTGATATTTTCCCAGCAACAACAATACCGTGCGTTACATCACTGATCAGTCACTGACGCTGGCTCTATAAGTACCATTCCCTAAACGGGTATGTCGTCACTGCTGTGGATGGCTCCTCGTACCTTACGTGTGGCAAAACAAGTGTAGGGGTGGTAGTCCACTTGTCGCGTTTTGCATAACACGAAGATGTCATCATAAGCACCCAGAGTGCTCCGCGTTTCAATGCATTTTACGTCTTTGAGTTCACGTGGAAATCATTACGAAAATGAGACGAAGAACTGCCCTGGTTTTCAAGGATTTTGTGCATATCTTCTAGAGAATCACACTGCCACTATTCTGCAATTTTTCCAAACTCAGAAATGGTTGTTGGCTTCTGTGTGGTTTGAATGTTCTTATGACTTTTGATAGCGGTTGGGGATTTTTTGCAGGATTCATTGAACTATTTGGAAGCACTCCCGCGAGGATGTTCGCCATAAGAAACTGTGCTCTTCGTCGCGTTGCAACGGTGATCGGAAATCGTTCCATATCTTCTTCCTCGTCATGTTGTGGTCAGCATTATCATGTTGACGACACAATTTTCGGACTAACTCCTGAACAACGTCATGTAAATTACTGAACGCTTTTGTGTCTCTCGAATTCTGTTCTGAAGTAGTTACTGTATGTTCCAGCTCCGAGATGTTGTCTTCAGCTTTGCTCAGAAAGAATTGGCTCCGCACGCTGACCGTATCGACAAAGAAAATGTTTTCAAGGAAATGCGAAGCTTCTACAAGAAAATGGGAGAACTTGGATTTCTCGGCATCACTGCTGATCCAGAGTTTGGAGGAACCGGAGGCACGTATTTCGATCATTGCATCATCATGGAGGAAATCTCACGTGCTTCTGCATCAATCGGCCTAAGTTACGGAGCTCATTCGAATCTCTGCGTGAACCAGATCAATAAGAATGGGACCACCGCTCAGAAGGAAAAATATCTCCCGAGGGTACGGTCCTTGCTTAACTACTGTCAATGCGGACTCAAATTCTTGGGAGATGTTACATGTACAGTTGAACCTTGATAGCTTGAACCTCCTTGAGTCAAATACCTCCCTGTGTTGAATCATTTTCAAGTTTATGTCTGTATTCCCTTGGAAACAATGAGTTGAGAACTTCATCAACTTGAAGGCATTCCTCTTCAAACCTCCATAACTCAAATTTTCTGGAGGTCTTTTGAATTTTATTTTATTGACACAGGAAAGAGGAAAGTACATTAGTACAAATTTAAATTGTACGTTTTAGAAGGAATTGAAACTTGAAAGACTAATTAGGCAAATGAACCCATGCCTCCATGTACAGCATCCTGTCAACTTATTTAGTGAGCAACTTAAGGCCTAGAATATCACCAATTCTAATTTCCTGTACTGTAATTCTCTTTTTTCCCGAAAAACAAATGCTTGTTTTCCTGACTCGAATTTTACTCCTGGTACCTTGAAGTTTGACCTGAAGATGTTGGATTTTATGGTACTTCTGAACCCCCATAGCCGAAAACTTCGAATTTGCGTGACCGTATTCTACGAATAATTTCAAGATTTTTGGCTGCTTCCACCAGCTGTTTCTAGTTGCAAGAACAACGTACGCTCTGTCAATAGATGCGTCAATTTTGAGCAAGCATAAAATTCAAAAGAATTTTAGATGGACAGCAGGGAATTTTGAAAATGGTGTGTTTTTTTGGGCATATTGTACATGATTGTGAGAAAGTTTTTCACTGTGTTGTGGCTGAAAGTGACTTTATGAAGAATAGAAATTCATTCCAACGTATTTTAAATATGCTTGCACGAATATAACCTAATCTTGGACTGGAAAACCCGACTGCAGAAGAACCCTATCAACCGAATTGTAACGGATGCACTTCTAATGTGAGGTGATGAAAGCAAATAATTTCCTGAAAAGACGGCTTGGGCAAGGTACAGTAGAACATACGTTTCGATGTGATCGCCGTGACAGAACTCTTTGCGTAGAACTTCGGGACCTAATTTTTTAAACTTGTTAGCCGTTTCGAGGCATAGATTTGGTTCTCCTTGCTTCAGTATGTATCTATCGCGGACTGCGAAGGTTGTACTGTACCTGTACAGTAGATTTATACTGGTTATTTGCAGCTATGTTCTGGAGAGCATATGGGGGCACTTGCCATGTCAGAACCTGGCTCTGGTTCTGACGTTGTTTCCATGAAAACGAAAGCTGAAAAGAAAGGCGATTACTACATCTTGAATGGATCGAAGTTCTGGATCACTAACGGTCCTGATGCTGATGTTTTCATCATTTATGCCAAAACGAATCCCACTGCTGAAAAGCCGCAGCACGGCGTTACAGCGTTTCTGGTTGAGAAGGGAACGCCTGGGTTCACGACGTCTCCAAAGCTTGACAAATTTGGAATGCGAGGATCGAATACTTGTGAGCTTGTGTTTGACAATTGCAAAGTTCCGCAAGAAAACATCCTCGGAGGTCTGAATAAAGGCATCTACGTTTTGTTCAGTGGATTGGACTTGGAACGATTAGTTCTTGCAGCTGGACCCGTTGGGTAAGTTTTGGACATTGTCACCTAGGAAGAAGTACCTACTGACCAGCCAATCGTTTTATTCTACACTTTTTTCAAAGCTTTTTTCTTCATGAGACATAGAATTGTTTCGAAAGTGAATTGAAGCTAAAATTACCCAATTGAAGAATGTCCACAGCATGCAATACTAATAAACAGGATTATTTTTGCCGGGTACATTTTAAAATTCATGCTCTGTGATATCAAGGACTGCCGTTCATACTGTTTTTTTTTGTTTTGTTGCGGTTTTAGTTTCTGTGCATGTTATTCCGATCAATCGCTAATCTACTGTATTACGATGAATACAGATCAGCTTGTACGCTCAACACAATACGTTTGTGACATCCTCCCGAAGTCGTAGATGATTCTGTCCATGATTAAGAAAACGAGAATCTCCTCAAGAAATGATTATTTGATCTCAAAACAATTTTGGATATCAATTTCTTGTTGTTGCCAAATGCTCTTCGTGTGCTGTGATTTTCCTTGAACGGGTTTTATGCAGTTCGTGAAGTTGAGTAAGGTTGTTTGATCTTCAGTCCAGTATAGCCTTTGTGTCAATTTATTGATGATATTGTTACAAGAAAGAGCCTGGGCACAAATGGACTTGTTCCAATGGAGTAAGTTCAAGAAAGAGAGATAAACAGATCCTTGAACAAAAGCAATACAGTATTACAATTTAATTATGAAAACATAACGTTTCATTCTGGCTTTTCTGAGTTGCAATGAGATCGACCATAGTGCAGTTAAAATTCTATCCCTGTTCAAACAAGTGTTAGTGTGAAACGTCGTGTCACGAGCTATTCCTTTCCTTTCAGAATCATGCAAGCTTGCTGCGATACTGCTTTTGATTACGCTCACACACGGAAGCAGTTTGATACGAAAATTGGACACTTCCAATTAATGCAAGGAAAGTTGGCAGACATGTACACAACACTCAGTGCATGTCGGTCGTATTTGTACAGTGTTGCCCGAGCTTGTGATGCTGGTTCCAAAACTGTCAACAAAGACTGCGCAGGAGTTATTCTGTACTGTGCTGAGGCTGCCACTCAAGTCGCGCTCCAAGCAATCCAGACTCTCGGTAATCAATTTTGATTTTTTTTTTTCAGTAATAAAAAGGAATTTTCATTTTTTGCAGTATCTGTTGTCGAGGATTTTCCTGAGCTTCATATCTGATCTGAACTACTGTATTCGAATTTCAGGTGGGAATGGCTACATCAATGATTACCCGACTGGAAGATATTTGCGAGACGCGAAGCTTTACGAAATTGGAGCTGGCACTAGTGAAATTCGCAGACTTGTGATAGGACGTTCGTTGAATAAGGAATACGCTGATTAGATGGCGATGTTGTGGTTGATTGATGCTTCAGAAGGTTTCCGGTGGTTCGTGTGCAATGACTTCCAAGCTTTTGAGTGTTCAGGCTTTTTGAAAATGATTTTGTGTCTAATTCTTGTTCGGGAATAGGGCGAGCATTATTGATTTGTTTTCCGAAAATTCTTCAAATGACTTCGTGTACATTTGCATTTTGCTCCGTTTTTCGAAGTTTCGATCATTGGTCGAAAATTGGTACGTAATACAGTACGATCAAACCTCTTCAAGGAGCCAGCATCATAATTTGGGTTAGGGAAACGAGCATTCGTGTTTGGGGAAAGAAACAAGAATTGCAGGAAATCGTTATTTGGGATTTTCTAGGCCTTGAATTACTTCTGAAATGAGTTGACGAGATGTTGTACATACTTGAATGTAAGGGTTCATTACCTAATCATCCTTTCATCACTTCAAACCACATCAAGTTAAATTTGTATTGTTTTTTCTCTTTCCTGCGTCAATAAAATACTGTAGTTGGTAGCCAGAGGCCCATAGAAAATGCGAGTTGTGGAGGTTTGAGGAGGAAAGCTTTTGGGTTGGAAACTTAAACTAAAAGAGTCTTTTTTTTATCTTCACATCTCTCTGCCGAAGAAATGTCATGGTGTGCGGTACTTGGTTAAGTGCCTGGGGATTCTGGAAAGCACAGATCTAGTTTTTCAAGAGCAAATCTCACAGGGGTCTCTCCCGTATGCATTTCCGTTGAAAATTTTAAATTTCCAAGTTCGTTACTTCCTGCTATAGGATGAACTGAACAAAATATCAAAACTGAAGGCAGTGAGTGAAAGTCTGTGTGTTCATGATGGTTGTAGGATGAGCAACAGAGACCGGATCATGAAAATGGAAATTTCCTGAAGGGGAAATTTGAAATATTGCTTGTGAGGAACGGAGCTCAATGCAAATTAATCACGTAAACGTAAAAATTGTGGGGCGTCCACATCCTCTAATTTGATGGAAAACATTTGCAGGCCTATCTTTCGAGTGATGAAAGGATTCGTGGTGGTGCATTTGGGTGCCGGGAACTATGCCAAGTCTCACCACCCGGCGTACTGCTCCCTCGCGGAAGAAGCGTGCACCGCCGCCATCGAAGCTCTGCAATCTGGCTGTGATGCCGTCGAAGCCGCCACGAGGGCGGTCGAGGTTCTCGAAAACTCTCCTCTCACAAACGCTGGTGTCGGCTCCAATCTCACAACCGAAGGTCACGTGGAATGCGACGCGAGTGTAATGTGTTCACGTGCTTCCCTTTTCGGCGCCGTTGGAGCAGTGAAGTGTCTCAAAAATCCAGTCCGGACAGCGGAAAAGCTACTGAGATTACAATCAAAAGGCAGCATGACTTGTGGGCGAATCCCACCATCCTTCCTTGCGGGCCCCGGAGCAGAGAAGTGGGCTTCCGACAACGGTTGTGTCTTGATCAATCCCCGCGACCTCATCACTAAAGGAGCCTTACGACAGTTTGCATCCAACACAAATAAGCTGAAGCTCGCTGAATTCGGTGTGCAAGACACTGTGGGCGCCATTTGCGTGGACTCTAATGGAAACGTTGCCTCCGCCGCTTCTTCTGGCGGTATTGCAATGAAACATTCTGGTAGGATCGGACCCGCTGCGTGTTACGGCGCCGGAACTTGGTGTGAATCTGAAGGACCCTCCGCTGTAGCAGTTTGTGCAACCGGGTCTGGGGAATACATGATGAGAACTTTGATTGCCGAGCGAGCGTGCAGTGCGTTGAAACAGCGTGACATGCTGCAGGACATTGTGGAAAAGTATTACAACAAGTCTTCAACGTTGAGTTTGATCCCAGAGACTGAAAAGCTGATCGGACTTTTAGCGGTGGAATCTTCTGGTCAGGGTTCGAAAGTGGTCATGACGTATTGCCATTCGACAAAGAATATGTGCATTGGTTTCTCGACTACGTCCGCGATGAAGCGGCCGGTTAGCTTTGTTTCCGAATTGCCACTCGACAAAGAGCCCGGGAAAAGTTTGATGTCTTCGGGACACGCTTTTACTTTATCCAAGAAATCAGCTTCGAAATGTTGACTCGGCTTCCGCATCATCCTCTAGTGTGACTTGTCTTTTAATTTCAGGCTTCTTTTGTTCTGTGATGGAACGGTTGAAGAGTGATGAATCGATGAAACGAAGTTCGCCTGAGATGTGGCCTGAGTCGAGTGAGTACCGTACTACATAAGTAGTTTCGGAAGGAAGTGGCGTGTGACATTCGTTAATAGGTGCGATTTCCCAGGATTAGGTCCCTTGCATCCATGAGCTCTCCAAATACGCGGTAAAATCTCGGTTGATCCCTAAATTTTGTTATATTTTTCAAACCCTTCCTCTTATGAAGATTGAGCTTTAACGAGAAAGTAAATTAGGTCTTAAGAGTTAGAAATGAACTTTTGGTGTTATGAGTTCCTCTGGGGATGCACAAATTTGGGTTAACGAGTTGAAAACACAATAAATCGGTTTGTTTTGCACTTGAAAAATGAAGGCGTTCCACACTTTTTTGAAATTATATTAAGAAATCGAGAGAAATTGCATGTGTCGTTGTTCAGCCATGACTGACCAAAATCGATGCATCCCTTATGGAACTCATCTAGGTTTGAAATTGAACTTGTTGAATAGCTGTCCCGAAATGCTGTTGAGCTGTGACATGGAAAGATACTCATCGACATGTTTCGTGCCTTGTGCGAGACAAAACCGTTTGTTGAACCTCGATGGTTGAAGCGTATGGGATGCATCTTTCATGAAGACTTCTACGTGGTAAAATGTAGAACCTTCTGTTGAAACACGCCTCAGAGTTGGCTATTGTAATGTAGCACCCTGTTTTTGAGCTAAAATCAATGCCACAGTTCCAAGATTCTGAATGGTATAATTCTTTAAGCTCTTAATTCTTTGTTAAGCGGTGTGTTTGGATCGAATCATTACCTGGCTTAGAAAAAATAATTTTCTGAACAGATTTTTCTCCACATGAATTGCATTATAATTCGTTGGTACGAAAATGTTTCTGCCAGTTCCAGGGTTGAACGCGTTCGTCGCTGAAAGGGTCAGAGATGGTGGCGAGAGCCCGATTCCCCCTTGGCTTGATGATCTTGGGGAAAGTGAAATAAATTTGCTCCAAGGTTTGTTTCATCGAGAGTTCTGATTATTTCGGAATTTTCTTTATTGCGCCTGTATTTTCTTCCGCAGCATTCGCAAACAAGACCCCGCGTGAGCTGATGACGGAAATGCGTCTTCTTTTAAACAAAGCATACCACTTGGGTTTGGAAGAAGCTAAGGAAACGGCGAGAGGGAAATATTTGAAGGTTTTAGAACGTCGGTCACAACAGTGAATGGAATATTTTCAATGTGCATTATTTTTACAAATATATTTCCGTTACAAAATCTCATTTGTGTTGGGTCATTTTATCGTTTTCATGCATTATTGTGAATGCCGTGTGATGCGTGGCATGTGTACAGTATGTACGGTACAGAATGGGTATTCATTTCTTGAAGTGAGGGGATGCATGGCGTTTTTGGTCGGGAATAACCCGGAAGTTGAGCAAGACCGATTTTCAGTATACGTTTTATGTTGCGAATTTTGGGGTTATCTGCGTGTGTGAATCGGGCACCTTTTACGATATTTATGGACATGCAGGGAAACGCGTTCAGCCAATGGGGAACAGTTGGAATCAGTCCTGAACAGCTATTGGAACAATTAGTGGAAGAACCAAAATTGTCAAATGGGTGACATTGCTGTTAATAATGTATTATGGATTCCTCGAACAAAAATTTCTTTAGTGTAGGCTAATTTTTATTTTTGTTGTTCATAGTGGAATATTGGTTACGTTGCATTATCTTGAAGAGGTTTGACTTCATGAATGCCGCTCCGGTGTTTTGGTGTTCCACTGATTTGTACCATCGGAGCTCTTACAAAGATGGCCGATTCTATTACCCAATGAGCTAGTGTGGATGATCGAATCGAAACGTTTGTTGAGTGGGGTTACTGTTCCTTTGTTTTCGATCGTAACTAGTTACATTGTGCATAGCAGCGTTTCTGAGGAGTCGTTCTAAACTTCTAATGATCAATTTAAGAAATCTTCATTATAGACAGCGTCTGTTAAAGGTGTCTAGCGTTGCCTTGGGAAGCTCTCGTGGGAGAATTCGTGGATCACTCGTGATTTCTTGTGAAGATCGCTTATTCAAGAACATGTGTCTAGCGTTGCCTTGAGAAGCTCTCGTTAGAAAATTCGCGGATCACGAGTGATTTCTTATGAAGATACCTTATTCAAGAGCATGTTGGTAGAAGTTAATGTAAAAATACAGTGTATTCGTTCAAGCTACCTTCATACAGTTTTATTCGGTCCAAATGACGTGCTCTGCAGAAGCACCTTTGTCACCTCGCTCTAATGCATTCATTGCCGTCAACTTCTCAGGTTTTTGACAAGTTCCTCCTTAAGAGGATGCGAAATTGATCATTGTTGCTACTTATTGTGCATGTTACATTTTTGATCGAGTTGGGTCAAACACCCCCGTTGGGGGCTGCTGAGGATGTTGCACTCGCATTACGAGAATAGATTACGGAAGGCTGTGCGTAACGACGATGAACCGTTCACTACGCCGCCGTCGAAAAGACGACTGCTCCATTCACCGCTGAAAACGGTATTACGAAGGTTTTTGAAATCGTGTTTCTCAAAAATCTAATTTCCCGTGAATTCTTCCAGCCTCCCTCTTTGCCCTTGTCGCCGCGCTCCCCGAGTTCAGGACATGGAGATCGTCTCATTCCTTCTCGTCTTGGAGAGAAGTGGAATGAAAACTTCCGTTTGCTCCAAGAAGATGTGGGGTCACCGAACGAAATCAAACGTGCGCGAGACGCGGCCGCGGAAGGGAATAAAGACACCTTGATGTACCGTTGCCTCTTGAGAAGCGAAATTTTGGATATGAATGTTTCGGAATCTCGGCTTTCTAATGTACCCGTGCTTATACCGGATGACAGGAAGCCACTTGGAGCTTTGGATGCCGTCCGCATTTTCAACGTAGGTTTCTCCGCGTTTTTTTTTTAACATTTCCCCGCATAGAAATGGAGTGTCAAGTTACGACTGATCTGAATCTCAAATGTTCGAAAAGTTTGATCGTCCGCTACCACGTGGCAGTTGTCCATGCAGTGATTAATATCTGGATAATTTCTTGCAGTATCAGTCACCATCGAGTCAAACCGAACCTACGTCTCCCTTCTCAATATCTCCGCTGAGCTGTCGATCGCAAGCTCTTCTGCGTTCTCCGCGGAAGACGGCGCGGAAAATATCCAAGATGCCTTTCAAGGTTTTGGATGCACCGGAGCTTCAAGACGATTTTTACCTGAATCTTGTCGACTGGTCATCTCAAAACGTTCTCGCGGTTGGACTTGGCGCCTCTGTGTGGCTTTGGTTTGCTTGCACCTCTCAAGTTACCCGTCTTTGCGATCTTAGCGTCGAGTCAGATTCCGTGACGTCAGTTGCCTGGACTGAACGAGTAAGCTTTTATTAGTGCATTGGTATATTAGTATTCATGTGAATGTTAACAATGCCATTTGTTTTATTTACTCGCGTGTAAAATCAGGTTGCACATTTCAAACCGGCGATATGCTGATAGGTATGGTGGTTCGAAGTGTGCATAAATCAAAGAACCAATTATTATTACTCATCTAGCATTTTCTTGCGACTCGAGATACGTTTTCAGTGTTGGATGAAATAAATGTAGGAAATTAAGACTTTCAAGTTCCATAGTAAAAGCGGCTCGCGACCGTTTTTTGTTTTCTGTTTTGTTTAGAAAAACATGGTATTCACTGCGGAAGTCAACAGATTGTTGACTCCCGTGGTGAATTTCTGCGGAGGAAAAAATGGATCGAGCTTGATTACCATTTTTTTGCTGCCGCGAAATTGATTTTTTTGCATAGTTCGGAGCAGGTGGTTGTTTATAGTAAGTTTGTCACCGTACTTCTCGCAGTTCATGAGACTGAATCAGTTCATCGAATCGTCTTATCTGCGAGTTAATGCGTTTCTTGTCCGAGAAATCCTTTTGACCTACGATCCTTTACATTATTTTGTGCTGCATAAAATATTTAAAAACCTTTTAGGGCAACTTGGTAGCTGTCGGAACGCACCATGGCCTAGTTCAAATTTGGGATGTCCAGGCCAATAAGCGGATCAATACGATTCACGGTCACACAGCCAGAGTCGGTGCCTTGGCGTGGAACGGGGATTCGCAGATTTGCTCCGGAAGCAGAGACCGGTTTATTCAGCAGAAGGACATCCGGACCCCGCCGGTTGTTCCCGAACGACGACTCCAAGGGCACAGACAAGAAGTTTGTGGTTTGAAGTGGAGTCCCGATAATCAACACCTTGCGTCCGGCGGAAACGACAATAAGTTGCACGTGTGGAATTTGCATTCGAATCAGCCTGTACAAACGTACGGCGATCACATTGCGGCAGTCAAGGCGATCGCTTGGTCTCCGCATCATCACGGACTGCTGGCTTCAGGCGGCGGAACTGCTGATCGTTGCATCCGGTTTTGGAACACGTTGACTGGACAAGCCATGCAGAGTGTTGACACAGGATCTCAGGTAAATATCGAGAAACTTATTTTACAGGTGACATCGAGCGACCGTTTCACATTTTCCTTGAAATTCAGAGCAATTAAGTACAATATACCTGAATTATGATGTTCAAATACAGGGCAGTTGAACCTCGCTAATTCGAACCTTCCAAAGTCGTATGCATTTTCTACTCCATGTCTTAATTTCCTCAGAAACAATACATTAAAAACCTCCATTTGAAAGCTTTCCTCCAGCATAACTGAATGAGTAGCCTTCATAACTCGAATTTTGTGGAGCCCTCTCGGCTATTTTTTATTGGTGCTGAAGAGAAAATTATTACCGGTGTTACTTGATGTGTTCAGAAAAAGGAAAAGAAAGACTTGAGTGCGCGAATGAACCCTTGCCTTCAAATGCAGCCTTCTTTCAACTCATTCAGAAAACAAATTCTGTCCAGAATAACTCCAGACACTATTTCCGGTAATTCTTTTTTGTTTTGCCTTTTACCCTAACTCGAATTTTTTTGCTGGTCCCTTGAAGTTTGCGTTACGGTTCGACCGTATTGGTTGATCATCTCTTTTTGCACGATTAGTGATTCGCATCACGTTCATTCTGGCGTCCCTCTAGTGCTAATGAAGTTTTTTTTTGCGTGTCGAAATCTTCGATATTCCCACTTTCCCGATTATGTGACTACAATACAGTACAGTGTTCAGTCGCACATCGGTAAGCCGTGTTACGCTTCGTTTCTGTCGTTTTTAACCTGTATGTTGAATTATAATGTATCAGTCTTTTTTTTTCAAATGAGCCTAATTTCATTGTCCCCTAAAGCTGATAGTGTGTGGGAATGAATTTGGTCTGCTGTTGATCTTGCTTCAAACTGTCTTTTCTATTCTCTTATGCCCGAATCACACACTAAAATTTACTTAGTTCGCATGGATTATGCAGTAGGTATTCTCGTTCAGAAAGAACAGAGACGTTTGAGAGCATTACAGAGTTTCATTTTCTCTTTTAGGTGTGTAATCTGGCTTGGTCGAAGCATTCTTCGGAGCTCGTGAGCACTCACGGCTACTCCCAGAATCAAATCCTGTTGTGGAAATACCCTACGTTGGTACAAGTCGCCAAATTAACGGGTCACACGTATCGCGTTTTATATCTCGCGATGTCGCCGTGTGGAGAGTCTATTGTGACCGGAGCTGGGGACGAAACGCTTCGCTTTTGGAATGTTTTCTCAAAAGCTCGTTCACCTAAGCAAATTCGGTCCGTCTTGGACCCATACGCATTCCTGAGGTGAATCCGTGTGGTTGACAACGTTGTATATCGAATATTTGTATCCTTGCCGTGGTGCTCGTCTTGTGATTTATTTACGCTGCGTCGAGAAATTTTTTTCTCTCATTTCGATGTTCTTATCACGCTCCTTCCACCTCTTCCGCTCTTGATTTATAAACATTTGAACTTGTTTAATCTTGATTATTCATGTTGTATGAAAATCAATTTGTTCGAAATTTTGCGCAGCTCTGATCACTATTTGAAGATCCTCTTCGTGAACCTGTTTTGTTGAGTTTTGTTTGAATTTCGAAATCTTATGCAATGACGCAAAGCTTCAGTTTCTTGAAGGCTTACTGCAATTGAGTAATGTATTGTGTTGTTCACTTCTTCATTTACGGGCGTCATTTTTCCTGTTCCTCTTTGGGTTTCTCATATTCAGTATTGTCATCAGGAAAAGGTGTTTTTGCCTTTTTATAGCGGGAGCGTGAAAATTAAGACTCAAATGTTATTCTCACTTCTTTTGGTGTACATGAATGGGCGTTTTGAGGTCTTCGATGTTGAATTTTTATGTTGCGAGTTTTGGAAGTCGTGGAAGTGATTTGGTGAAACCTGTCGTAACTATGCGGAAGATTTGTTCGGAAGTTGGACAAAATGTGGGTTTGTTGAACCCAGTTTTGATGCTGAACTGGTTTCGTTGACACTTAAAACATATTTTTATTCGTGGAAAATTCGGAGAGGGCGAAAATCAACTTCGCTCGCATATAATGCTTTCAGTATATCAGCGTTGCATGTAGGTGGTTTATTGAGTATAAAGGATATGAAAACCTCAAATTTGTCGCTTCCTTGGAATCGGAATGATTTTGTTGAATTCTCAATTTTGACGGAATAGATGTACAGTATTTAGTTTTTGAATATTTCTTGAAATGAACAAGTCGGACTCGTAAATCTGTGGCCTTCTGCTCCGATGAGTGAACGTACAGTATCTGTAAGATACTAATTCATCTCCAACAGCTTTCAAGCCGATGATTCTTGACCTAGTTTCATGTTGAATACCGACTCAGTTATATGCTGGGAATGGAATTCATAGTAATTCTTTCTTTCTTGTGTTGAAATATTGAATTGCCAAAAAATATTGTCAGTGATGCTTATCTTCGAAAGACGCCTTCAAGTTTCAGGTCGACATTCGAGGCGTTGGAGTCTTGAAACAAACCTTACTCATTTTCTGTGTCGTAGTTTGTATATTTCTTTCTGTTAGTCCAACGTGTTACCTGCAGATAAAAAAAGAAGTATCATAAGACAGCATCTTAGGATCCACTGAGAACTACTGTACTGTACATTTCAGCGCACTCTTTTGAGAAAAAAACTTTACCAACATTTTGCTGATTCGACTAAGCAAAAAAACTGGTTTAAAATGATAAATTTTTCGAATTGTAGTCCATGTAGCTGGGACTCACATTAGCTGACCCATTTTACACTTCCATTTTCAGCAACCACATGATGCATCCAAAACAGCTTTCAAGAGGGAATGGCCCTCATATTAATAATCTAAGCATTAAAGACGATGATTCACTTTTCGCAGAACATTCTCGCACAAATTCAGCATCAAAAAGCTGCTTATCTATTCTTTCCAGGAGCGAAATATATTACCTCATGGGCACATTTTACGACAGAGCATGAAGTATTTAGGGGACCATTCGAATTTTCATCAAAACCAGCAAAAATATTAATGCTGTGGCGGGAATATTACCACAGTAGGAGAATATGGTGCGTGATGTTAAAACAGTAAAACAAGCCTGTTCCTTTCGAATATGAACCCTTGTCACGACATTATTCCGGGAAGGAACCTATGAAAACTTTTGCCCATTTCATGGAAAATCTAGGACAGTATTAAAACAGCAGGTTTTTTGAAACATTTTTATTTGTTTCGTGCGACTGAAGGCATCCAAAATTGCTGGGGGTGTTAATTGGCACCTTAAAAATTTTTCAGCAACTGCGAACGTAACTTGGAATATTTATTTCAATTTTAAATAGTATGAATAGCCCCCAGCCCCACTTTCTGCAATTCAGCCTGGCAACCCACAGTTTGTCAACCCTCCAACCAAGGCTGAATCCAAATTCTCTTGCTTCCTGCAAATCGCGTGTTTTTTTAGGGTTAGTTAATTAACACCCATGCGCAAAAGTACCCAAGAATGCTCCTCCTACAGCGACAACATTCCAATTATTATGCACAAGGCCCCATCTAAGATTAAAAAGAGAAAACCCCAAGACATTTGTATTCATGGCCCAAAAAATTGTATCAATTTATCTTCACGGCACCTCTTGAATGTGCAATAAAATTGAGCCACAAAAAAGTCTTCAGGAATTGAAAATGCTAGCTCCCACTTTCTGCACTTTTGCAAATTAACCCCAAGTAGACATGTTCAACAACTTGATCCTTTTCTATCCTTCTCAGTCTTTCAATCTGATTAGATTCATCACTTAAAAAAGTGGCATGACGTATTCAAATAACCTCTCCAAATGATGCCACGTGGTAATTTTATCATCAAATGAAATCAGCCGAGGTAGGTCCTTACATTCTGTGAATATGTTAAGTATGACCCTTTGAAAAAATGAAATTGATACGTGTCGTTGACACGTGTGTTGGTGAAAACAACATGCCTGAGGGGGGCCCCGGAAATTCGCGGTATAAATCCTGCCAGCATTGCTGGTCTGACGACCACATTCTGAACTCTTCTTACACGCACCTGCATGTCCGCGAGAGAAAAAAAAACATGGTCCTCAAATTTCTGAAAATGGGTTATCCGGAAAATGTCACTCCTATTTGTTTCTCAATTCACTGGAATGCAGTGGTACAAGAAAAGAAAAACTAGCGGCCCTGTGTTAAATCATTAGGTGTGTGGATTCAATTCGGTGAATTTTAATATCGGAAGTGCTGAAGCGACATGTTTTACGTACTGATGAGCACTTTGATCCCGTGAATCAAAATTAACCATGGCTTATATATACGCACAGAAGTCGAAGCAATTTTCTCTGCTGATTCTGCCCTCAACAACAAGTTGCTAACAAAATAATTCCTTCAGGCTTGTTCTTGTTCGGAAAGGGATTCAAATCATTTTTTCCCAGTATATTTGATCTACATAAAACGTGAAAATTTGCCACGTCTTTGTAACATGCAAATAATACCCTTCAAGCCAATCTAAAATATATTGGAGACAGCTTGCGTATAAATTCTCCAAATGTTAACTTCCCAACTTGGAAAGTATTAAAAAATCTAAAATGGGTATACAGAAGTAAAATTTTTCCCGATTTCAATTAAAATGCAGGTGAAAACATGCTTAATAATATGTAGCACATACCCAAAAGTCAAATAAAATACGAATTTGTAAACGAAACATGGAGAGAAGGTACATTTAAATTTCACGACATCCGTCACTAAAAGGTTTCAACCACTGGCCAGGAGAGTATGAATGCTAAAAATATGTCGTGCAATATCCAGCGATATTGAACTGAAGATTATAAAAAATTTAATAAACACAAATTCTCCAAAAAAACTGAAAAAATCTTCTAAAAAAGAGTTTCTCCCATCATCTGATTCTCAAGGAAAAACGCGTTTCTTCTTCCACCATCAGCAGCAGCCACAATGTGTCCGCGAAAAACGCTTTCAAGAATACTTGCGAAATGAGAAGAGCCAGACAGAGGAAAGTCCCAACCCCGGGCCCCCAGCTGTTACCCTCGCCTCAAACCCCTTCATACAGCAGCGTCCAACTCGGAACAAAAGTGCTCTTGCGAATTGGTCAAGCACTGGTTTCAAGTATTCCTCGCAAACTTATTCTCTCACGTCGGACTCTGCATCCTCGTAGTGGGCTACTCAATTGCTGGTGCATTCCTGTTCGAATCCCTGGAAAACCGTCCATCGCTGACGCCAAAACCCCCGGGTACCCGTCGCGAAAACTTGCTACTACTGGTAGTACTTGGCAAAGAGACGCTTTTTCTAGCTCACACGCAGCCCTGATGCCTGAACCTGTGCCAAAACGACACACACCTCGTCACGTAGCTTACGACGCCATGAAAGTTCTTACCGGCCATGAAGGCCATCAATAGGAACAACACCGTTGTGGCTAAGCTCGTCAGGAAGCAAATGTACGATGCCAGCATGTCCAAGGGCATGCGATGGAAAGCTGTTATGGCACAAACTGGACAACCCCTGTGGACATTCAGCTCTGCTCTGCTGTTCTCCATCACGGTGATCACGACGATTGGTAAGTGATTCCTCCTTTGCAAACTCTTGTTAGCATCAAAGCATCTCACGTGAAAACCTTAGGACCCAGTAATGTTCATTATGATCTTGGTATGGGACTAAGAAAAAAATACTACCTGTGTTGGCTCTTTTTCGGGTCGGCAATGAATTCAAACCCATTAGATGTCGTCAAACGTTATTCTACGGAACGAATTCTATTCTAGAGCGGCTCTACTTTTTGAATTTGAAGCGTCTTTATTCAGAGAAATTAGCCAATGTCGATCCACCAAAATAAACGAAAAGAGGATGACCAATTTTTACGTGATACTTCCTGGCAGTTTCACCTAAATAGAAAATATTGAATGCAATATTTGAAGCTGCACTGATTTAAACATCATGGCTAATGGAAAAAATGAATGAGAATCGGATTTCTTATGCCTTTTTTTTAATTCATCAGTTTCATGATTATTTTATTGGATATAAGGTTCAGATTTGAACTAGAGGATGTAAGCACAAAACGATCATGAGGCACATTTTCACATGTAGTTCATCTTCAGATTATCACTTGTGGTCATAATCATACAGCCAAATCGTAATTTTTAGAATAATTTGCCAACTATAAATAAACTGTGATTTTATTTTTAAATATCTGTTGCATAGTGGCACCCAACTTTTCATTTTTTCGCTTTGATTTCAAAAACGTATCCAGTTCCATGAGTATTATAAAGCAACAGTTCAGATTTTAAACGAATTTTCCATAGTTTTACGAACAGGTTGAACAGATATAAAATTGGAAACAATTTTTAATTATTATTGCCTGCGTCAAAAATGGCACCGGAAATTGAGAATTGATACCAATGATCCCCGACAATATTAAATTGTACGGTGGCTGTTGATACTAGATGCGGATTTGTTGAAAAAAAATGCACAACAGACACACTTAATTAAGACTTTAAAAATTTGTCAGCATCAGAAAGCAAATGCAAAAAGTCTTGAGGCAACTTTTCACATGCGCAGTTCATCTTCAAATCATCACTAATGGTCTTGATAATACAGCCAAAACCAAGAACTTCAAAATAAGTTAAAATGATCACCGACTTCATTGTGATTACCCTTTTAAACATCCGCTGCAGTGAAACCCAAATTTTTCTACTTTTTAATCTTCGATATGAATAACAAATTTATATAATCTCTGTAGCGTCAATATTCATTTTCCTAACGGACATGAACCAAATTTACTCGAAAAATTTCAGGTTACGGAAACATGACACCAGAAACCCCGGAAGGTCGTTTGTGCACGATCCTGTACGCCTTATTCGGGATCCCACTCATGCTGATCTGGCTCTCGAAAATTGGCTCACTGCTTGGCAAGGTCCTGACTCTGATCTACACCCGATTATTTTGTGGCTGCAAACGTCGTCATCAACACCAGCGCACAATCACCCCATCCTCTCCTCTGCCGACAGTGACAATCATCGACGGGCCCCAGGACGCCAGCGTTCGCGTCAGCACGGAAATCACCCGATCCCCGACACTCGACCTGAATCCCACCGAACCCCCGCTGTTCGGGGCCCCCTCGGGAAACGTGCTCAAG